CCACCTTTTTAAACGGTAACTGTAACGGAATACAGTTACTCATATTTTGTATTCTAAATACGTAACGGCGGTACATGTATTCCGTTACTCCCCAACACTGCTGATCATCCACATAGATAAGTCCATTAATTTGAAAGTTGGGTCTTTAAAAAAAGAAAGAAATGGTCTCAAAAGAAAAGGGGAGAAAGGGCTCAGTTATGAATACCTGAACACACAATAACTGGACTGAAAATCACTGGCAGCAGATCTTATAAAGCAATTCATCCAAACTGTGAATGCATGAAAGTTAATGTTAGATTTTTATCTACCATGTGGAAACCATCTAATTGACAAAAGCTTATTTTTTTCAGCTTGATAGTAATCCCAAACACACTGCCAAAGTAGTAAATATATACCTGGATAGTCAAAGGAGCTTGCAAAGAAAAGTGTCTGGACTTCTTTAAGTTACTTGAAGACGTTTCACCTCTCATCCAAGAAGCTTCTTCAGTTCTAAGGTCAAATGGTGGGGAGTCCCAGATTCCCCACCATTCCAAATCCAAACTCCAAATCTGGGACTTTGGAGAGTTTGGAGAGCTATTACCTGAAGGCTACATAGAGAAATTACAAGAAAGCTTCAGACTGTGCTGAAGAATAAAGGTGGTCATACCAAAGACTAACTTTCAGGCTCTTTAGAATTGTACAAACACAGTTTTTGTCTTATATACTGTATTTCCAGGCATGTTTACACATGTTTCAATAAATCCCTGCAACTATTTCCCATTTCCCAAAAATATAAATGAGTGAAGGCTGGCTCAAGTCCTTTGCACATCACTGCATACACATTAATACAATTATCAATTAATCCCTAAAATGTGCATTTTTGTGAGCTGGACTCACACAAGCCTAATCAGATATCACAGAGAAGATGCGCAACTTTCTGCGCTATTTCGTCATTAACGCCCAGGACCAGCAGGGGGCGTGAGCGCGCTTTGAAGGCGGGCTCCGGAGCGCCCCGCCCCGCATGCAAAAGCTGCTGCATTTAGCACAGATTCGCAGCGGCGTGTTCGGCTCTGCGCTGTTTGTTGCGCACTTTGAAGCAGAGGTTTTAATCAGCCACGACGAGAACCAGAATTTATCAGCTTTTAAACTACATATATATAAAGAGTACACACAATGGCCACTGGTAAGTGAGAACGCATTTTATTTCCGATGAAAAAATAGGTCAAATAGCTTTGGAGCTAACGTTAGCTTGCGAACCGCGAGGCCAGAACCAGGGCTCCGTCTATTCCATGGAACGCAGGCTCTTTTTTCCCCCCCTCATTAATGCATGCAAATAATTTTATTTGTTTATAATTATTCATCTTTTCATTATGGGAAAGTGCTTCACGGCATCTTATTTTTAGCTGTTCTTCAAAACACGAACTGTGGCTACAGTGGGCTTTGTCGGGGTGGCTGTTAGCAAAGAAAAAAAAATTCAAAGCGTCTTTGTTATGGCGAAGGCTGTTGTTTCTCTTGCGGATCCAGAAGTATTTTGCTCTTGTAACGTTATCTTATATCCTGTGTTATAGTTAACTGTAATCGTACGTGTGTGTATTTTCATTACATCAGGCTGTGCGAAGAACAAGGGGTATTTTGAGCAGATCATTTGTTTCGTTTTCAACATTTAGTCTAAGCCAGCGCTAAAGTGACCGCCATTTTCCCGGCTCGGCCTGACTAAGGGCCTGTTGGCGTGTTGCTGGCCTGCTTAAAGTAACCTATTTTTGCCTTTGAGGCCAGCTGCTTGGTCAGCTAGACATTTACTTCACTTTTTAGCAAACACATTTACAGCACTGTGTTATTTTTGTTTCAGACTCAGGCTACGGTGGCCCGCAAAGGTAATGTGCAGACAAACTTTAAAGTACATACCCATGTTCAAAGCGTGTAACTGAACAACGTTTTAGCTTTTTGAACACATTTTAAACCCGGAAGCTAAATGTCTTTTTAACCATGTGTCTGCAGCTATGGTTCATATAGTGGAGGTCAGCAAGGCGGGCAGGTAAGACCTCTATTCTGGCTACTTGATGTAATAGTACAAGTTCATTTATTTTAAAGTAAAACCTGCTTAACTTATGCATTTGATTGGCAGGGTTATGGACAAGGAAATAGTGGCAGCTCCTATGGAGGACAGAATTATAGTGGCTTTGGACAGCAAGGTACAGTATGTAAATGCAATTTAAACACCTTTTGTTAAACAGAGGCCACCTAAAAAGTGTCTTTTTTATCATTATTATTATTATATTACTTTTTTTTTGAATATCAGTTACTAAAATGTCTTTTCACATCTAGTTTAGTTGGTGTTTAAGTTATGTGTCCTTTAAGATCTGGCATACGCCTGTGTCCACACACAAGTTTGGTACTGGTTTTTATTGTCTTTTGGTGGAAAGTATCCCGGGCACAGCAGAGGTCAGGATACTGTCCACTTTAGTACAATCTCATTTGGTACAGGTTAATTGTTTTATAAATTGTGAAATGCTAATGTGAACCTTGGGGTTGTTTTTAAACTTGGTTCATCTCTTCATCTCCACAGAAAATTATGGCCAGTCTCAGCAACCGAGCTATAATAACTATGGACAAGAGTCCTCTGGGTAAGTTCATAATATCTCTGTATTAGGGATGGGGTGTGTTTTGTGTGTGGAAATGGGAAAAAAATCCAGCAACGATTTGTATGTATGTAACTAATGCAAGATTTAAGGGGGGAAACATCCAGTTAATTCTGCACTTGGTTGATAATCTCCCATTCAGATATGGTGACAAGCCCTCCTATGGGCAGCAAGGATCTGGGTCTTATGGACAGCAAGGCTCCTACAGTGGTCAGGGGCAAGGTGGAGACAGTTATGGACAGGGACAGGGCGGTGGTGGTGGTGGTAGTAGCGGATACAGTGGCCAGAGTGGTGGCAGCGGTGGATACGGAGGCCAAGGGCAAGGAGGAGGTGGTGGCGGTGGATATGGACGATGGAATGAAGGTACGCTAACTGGATCATAAAATCTCAATAAGTCTGTATTTGAAATTGGCCTGTGCTAAGAATTTCTTTTCTGACTTCCACCAGGTGGTGAAGGTGGTGGTCAGGGTGGGAGGTTTGGGCGTGACTATGGAGACCGTTCAGAAGGAGGAGGCTACAGAGGCAGAGGCCGTGGCGGCAGTGGCTATGACCGCAGTGGTGGATATGATCGTGGCGGAAGAGGCGGACCTCCTGGTATGGGGTAAGTTGCACAGTGCCACTGCCCCTAAGGTACCCTTTTTAACTGAAATATGAGAAATGACTTGTTTATAAGCACATCATCACCACTCATCAACTACAAACCATCCACATAGATGGATTTTTTTCACCACTCATCTGCTTTGTGCTCCAGATCCGCAAACACTGGTAATTTTTCTTCTTTTAAAACCTGAACGATCAAATGTTGCCGCAGGTAAAAAATTTCCCAAACATATGCTCCAGGTGCTCTTGAGCCTTGATTTTTGTATTTTTAAATCTTTTGTGTGTGTGTGTGTGTGTGTGTGTGTGTGTGTGTGTGTGTGTGTAATCTCATAAGAGACACGCTGGTGACAAAATCCACTGTTAAGATTGTGTGATTTGTACTCAAGTGGTGGTTAATTGGAGCGTAGTTGCTCGACTCATTGGAGATCCACTCGCTATCAATGGGATCTTAAGGTAAAAAGAAATGGAGATTGAATACAGCTGCCCAGATAAGAGCTGGTTGTGCAACTAACATACCCAGACTGACACAAGTTTTGTCCATTTGGCAACAAAGGTTGAAAAGGACCTCTTGGTGTTTTCAGAGACTTTCATCCAGTGGAATATTAACCTAAATGGTGCCATACCATTCTTCTTTTTCTTTTTTACTTTGGACTAATTTGTTACTAAAAATGGATTTGACTTTTTAACATTTAAACTGTGCCTCTATTGAGAGGAGGTAAATATAATCTTTATTTTTGGAGCCTGTACAGTCCGAAAGTGCCACATTTCTTGTTCATCCTTTAAACCTCCTGTTATGTTAAGATCTCGGTCTCAGTTAAATTTCCAGTAGCCACACGTTTTTAAGATGCCAGTAAGTTCACAAACTCCAGTTTTTGGTACGTTCATGTCTTATAATGACCACACAATGTACTGTGAGCAGTGGAAACTCCCCTGAGGTGATGCACTTAGACCTCGAGCCACATTTTCAGCTGCTTCACATTCAACAGGTTTCATTCAAGTGTTGTATATTTGACAATGGCGAACATGTATGTTGTGTTAACATGGATCTACATTTTATACTACAGGTGATTGAACTAAAACATGGACCTCAGTAAAAGGATCACATAAATGCACTCAGTGGAAGATTGCTCATTGGTTTGCTGCACCCCTTAACATCAATTTGGCTCATTTTGTTTAAAAAACAAAAAAAAGCTGTTTTTTTTTGTTTTTTTTTCCTCAGCTAATGGTATCTAATCTGGCCATGTGAAAAGTACCAAATTATCTGTAAACGGTGCCCCAGTGACATGTAATAACTACCTGATTGTTCAGTCAGCGCTGCCTAGTCGTCTGCTTATTGATCTCTAATGTCAAAGACTAACGCATTCATCGTGTGAGACATTTCCACCGTAGTCGCACACCCTGGCAGGAGTGCATACTGGTGGGGATGTAGGGGAGCTTTGAGCTCTCAGTTGGGACAAAGGAAAAGCCATCATATCTCCAATTTTTCCTCTGCAGAGGTGGTGACCGTGGTGGCTACAAAAATTACGGTGGTAAGTGACGAGCATCAGAACTGTGTCGGTGGGGGAGGAAAGAGTTTGAGTTAGGAAAAAGAAAAGAGGGTTTAAAAAAAAAGAGAGAGAGAGGAACTTCAGTGAATGCCACCATTTCCATGTCCAGATCCCAAGGGTACTCCACCTATTGCTATTTGTCATAATGGTAAAGAACATGGAGCTTGAGATGTAAAATAATGGTTGCATGGAGACAAGAGCTGATTGTAAATGAGAGGTGTTCCCAGGATGAAGAAGGAAAACTTTCTAAAACTGGAGACTTTATGGTGGTTTTCATTTCTGGTGTAAGTTCAAAAAAGAAAAGTGAGGGGAGGAAAAAAAAAAACAGAACAGTTCTGTTCCTGTTGAAAGGTGTTGGTATGTGACGCAATGGTATGAAAACACCCACCAGAAAGCTGTTAACATGGTATTTGGTTAATTTTCTTTGGTATCATTATGCAATGCTAGGGACAAAGTTAATACTTAATTATGTGAAAGCTCACCACAGAGTTAAAAAAATCCTTTTTCACACATTCTCCTTCCATCCTCTTTTCTGTTTTCCAGGATCTCGAGACTACGGCTCAAGGGATGAACCAGGTGAGACTTAAAGTGGACATTAAACATGTATGGGCTAAAAGCCCTGCACTGAATAAGTTACATAAATTTTACACTGCCTGTGGAGCCGGATGTAAATGAGTTTGGCGCCATCTTGTGTACAGTCTGGGAGACTTCACCAGGTTGGTTGGTTGTTTTCGGCTAATACATCTGCATTGGTTTATGTTGCCTAACTAGCGAGAGAACACAACTCATTGTACAGCCAGAGGCAACACAAAGGTGACCTCTTGGACTCCTTATTTTTAGTATTTTCTGCTGAGTTGGTTCTGTCTCTAGTTGATTAACACAAGCTAATGTAAATTTGTTAGTCGGAACTTAAAAAAAACAGCCAACCTGGTCATGTCATGTACTGTTCTGTAAGACGGAGCCTAAACATGTTCTGTAATCTTTAAACACTTAAATTTGATCTGTTTTTAGATGAGGTTTGTTGACGCTTTCTGTCGTCTGATCTCATCCACAGCTGGAGAGCAGGACAACTCTGACAACAACACCATTTTTGTACAGGGACTTGGAGAAGATGTCACAGTTCAGGAAGTTGGAGACTTCTTCAAGCAGATTGGCATCATTAAGGTACTGAGCGAATCTGAGACTGATTTCTTTTCATTTGACTGGATTTTTATTATACCAGATCAGTCCTTTCTTTATGCACCTGAAGCAACCTCTATCATTTTAATTTCAGTTATGTCTAATTTATAGCCACAAAACTGACAGTAGGGGTAGTGCATTACGATGCAATCATGTTGCCTGGCCTAATAATGGACTAAAATGATGTAAGCATTACAGAGGACCAGAGGGCTAATACTATTTATCTGTCTTTGATTCATATAGGCATCATCTACCACCTCTACTTCATTTACTTTAGTGTAATTAGGTTTCAGTTTTCCACCAGCACAAACACACACGATGCTAGTAGCATGGGCGTGTACTCGTGTAGGTATTCATTGCAGCAGACTCAGGCATTTAAAACAGTAAATGCAAAAAATGCTGATCATCTCGAAATGTTCTGTACTTTTAGGTGAATAAGAAGACTGGCCAACCAATGATAAACATCTACTCTGACAAAGCCACTGGGCGACCAAAGGGTGAAGCTACAGTGTCCTTTGATGACCCTCCATCAGCCAAAGCTGCTATTGATTGGTTTGATGGTAAGAGCCCTGATATGTATTTTTATTTCCTGACATGTTTCAGCACTGTTTTCACTGACCTGTTGCTTGTTTAATTTCAGGAAAGGATTTCAACGGCAAACCCATCAAAGTATCATTCGCCACCCGCAGAGCTGAGTTCACACAGAGGGGTGGTGGTGGTGGTGGTGGCGGCGGCGGTGGCGGCAGAGGGGGGCGAGGAGGTGGGTGTTGCTCAGGCTGTCATCTGGGTTCAAATGATATACAGTTGGTAAATTACGTTACCTGTACTGATGATGCATGTTGGTTGGCAGGTTTCAGAGGTCGTGGTGGTGGTGGACCCAACTTTGACATTAAAGGAGGAGACTGGCCTTGTCCCAACAGGTGAGGATTTTAAACTTTTTTTATTTCATTTCTTAATGTTTATTAATAAAAATTCAACAGAACATGTCCATTTGGCTCAGTTGCATTTCTAAATGCCTGGATTTCCTTTCCTCAGCTCTTGCGGCAACATGAATTTTGCCCGGCGGCAGGAGTGTAACAAGTGTGGTGCACCCAAACCAGGAGATGGAGGATTTGGAGGTGGAGGTGAGTGCTTTAGAGATGTTCTTTTACCTGAAATGTTTACAGGATTGGAAAATGGCCCCTGTAGCTTTAGCGAAAAGAAACCTGGTAGCAGGAACATGTTTCTAAGTATGGCTAAACTTGCCAAATTCCTTTTTTTTTTTTTTTTTTTCTCTCTCTCTCTTCCCATCCTTTGTCCAAATCCTTATTGCTCAATTTTTATGTTAATACATTTAGTAATGGATTAAAGGCTTTTGGGTGATTTCAGTTTTGTCATTTTATAAATGCAAGAAACTCATTTTTATTGTAATGAAAACGCAAAGTTTAACATAGGAAATAACAGCACCACTTCAGAGTAGTTGCATGTGTTAAAGACTTAAATTGTTAGGCTAGTTTGTGCTCTAACCTGTCACGGACCCATTTGTGTTGTCATGTCATGATGCATTTGCAGATCGTGGAGGCAGAGGCGGATATGGAGGCGACAGAGGCGGTGGCTTTAGAGGGCGTGGAAGTTTCCGCGGGGGTGACCGCGGAGGATTTGGAGGTGGCGGCTACAAAATGGGAGGAAGGTCAGTTGAAGACTCTTGGCTGTTGCAGTAGTGTCATTACAGCAGGGTGGTCCATCTACTTTGTTGCTTGGTTTAAAAAGTGGTGGTTTCTTGTGAAATGGCTCAAGCAGTGATTTCACTCCTTGCCCAATCAGTGTCGTGCAGTCTATCACATTATTGCTGGCTGAGGGGTGCTCAAGTACCAGTACCTAATGGAAAACACTTAAATAAAATAAAAATAAAAAAATGGGTGGACTTAGAGTAGGTGTTAGTGGAAAAGAGACTTTAGACCAGGGGTGGGGGAACTCCAGGCCTCAAGGGCCAGTGTCCTGCAGGTTTTAGATGTGTCCTTGATCCAACACAACTGATTTGAAATGGCTAAATGACATCCTCAACATGTCTTGAAGTTCTCCAGAGGCCTGGTAATGTACAAATCATTTGATTCAGGTGTGTTGACCCAGGACGATATCTAAAACCTGCAGGACACCAGCCCTTGAGGCCTTGAGTTTCCCGCATCTGCTTTAGCCACTACTTTATGGCCAGAAGAGGGCGTACTCTGCCCAAAAATGACTTTAGTTTGTCTTTTTCAGTAAGATAAGACT